TCTCTCTCTCTCTCTCTCTCTCTCTCTCTCTCTCTCTCTCTCTCTCTCCGTCTGTCCTTCTCCTCCGCCGCCTCCTCCTCCTCCTTACTCCGCCTTCTCTTCTTCCACGAAGTTAATCGACAACATCGTCCTCTTTCACCTCTCGGTCTTCCCCGCGGTTTGTTCGCTGTCACCGTCATCGTCATTGTCATCGTCATCGTCATCGTCATTCTCGTCGTTGTTCCTGCGTGGGCGGTCGTGCCTTTGTGAACATCGTTAATGGAGAATCGTTGCCGCGGCGGTGATTGTCGATCGCATTCGGTGACTGTGCAATTTTGTCCCTGCCGTTACATCGGATCGCCGAGTTCGCGACAGGAACATCGGAAGTGGCTGTACACCGCGTTTCATCCTTACGCGTGCCGTGTACGATACCCTGCCGCATTCCCCCTATAGTGCAGTGCCGCCGTTATCGCGTTAAGTTCGTACTAAGGGAAACGCGCTCTCTGCTAGCCGTTTTCGAGTGGCGGTTATTAGGATGTGGCGTATCGGTGAGTTGTCAGCCAGGCAGGCACACCGTTCCGCTGCCGAGGTTGCGGGTCAAGGTCGACGCGAAGCGAGCGAGCGCACAGGGCTTCCATCTGTCAAACAGCTGTTTGCCCTCGACGCAGAAGCAACTTTGTGCTGTTTCGCATCGCGTTCACCTTATCCCCCGTTCGAACTATTACCTATGCGATCGTTCGTCCAACTTCGTATTCGCGTTTTCGATGGTGTTGGCCCGTTGCACCCGTGTGACGCATGGTACTCGTGATTCCGTGTTCGATTCGGAATTACTTTGGAGCAGTTGCGAGTCTGTGTAACGTGTTAATCAAAAAGTATCGTAAATTTTTCCTAGAGAAATACCTTTTCGTGGTAAAGTTATGTTGGGATAGTTTGTGCTCTTTGAACTTTTAGTAGTATTTATTTATACACGATGTGTTCATCATTAACGTTTCCATTGTACAGAAGTAACAGTTGCTTCCTTGTGTTCAATATTATTAATTAGAATTTTCTTGAAGAACTCTCTTTCTGTTTTATTTATATTACAGAAAAGGAATTCCTTTTTTTATCTATACCACTTTTGCTCTCAATGGAATTAACTCATTAATTCTTGAGTGAAATTGGTATTTTGTAGGAGGAGATGGAACGTATCACCTCAAAGTATTGGTTCCTGGTGTGGCTGCAGGAGCTATTATTGGAAAAGGTGGAGACACCATTGCCCAATTACAAAAAGATACAGGAGCTAGAGTCAAAATGTCTAAATCTCATGACTTCTACCCAGGTATCGTACAGAAATCAACCTGTGCTTTGTTTATTCCTGTAGAATATACTTATAATATTATCTACATTTAATCTCTCCTACTTTACAGGAACCACAGAAAGGGTATGTTTAATAACAGGCAGTTTGGAGGCCATAATGGCAGTCATGGATTTTATTATGGATAAGATACGTGAGAAACCAGATCTCACATTGAAAACAACTGTTGACTTTGAATCTGGAAAGACTACAGCAGAGAGAGACAAGCAGGTAAAAATGTAGTCTATCTTACCTTTCATAATTACATATATTTTATACATGTTAATATCTGTACAACTTAATTATAAAGTGTTTTCAGTTTACACAAAGTAATTGATTTATCATTTCAGGTCAAAATTTTGGTACCTAATAGCACAGCAGGAATGATAATAGGTAAAGCTGGAAATTATATTAAACAAATTAAAGAAGAATCTGGGTCGTACGTTCAAATAAGTCAAAAAGCAAAAGACGTATCTTTGCAAGAAAGATGTATAACGGTGATCGGAGAAAAAGAGAATAACCGTAATGCATTAATGATGATATTAGCAAAAGTGGCAGACGACCCGCAAAGCGGTACATGCCCTAATGTTAGTTACGCTGACGTAAGCGGTCCTGTAGCCAATTACAATCCAACGGGCAGCCCTTATGCTCAAGCTCCGACAACTACTCCCACGTATACTTCTACGGCTGGCATTAACACAGGTAAGATTTCGATCACTTTGAAATATTTATAAATGGACGGATGAACGAAGACTGTGTGTCTCAGTAAATCTAATTATCGTATCGGTGCTAATTTCTGTTCACAGTTAGTCTCTTGAATGGTGCTGGTCTCAGTTTGAACTTGAACTTAGGAGCTGCAATAACAGCGGGTACAACACCCGTAACAACGCAATTGTTGGAACATATAAAGTTAAATTTACGGACATCGGGTTTCTCGGAACCTGCTGCCACCGAAATTTTGTCTGCTATTGCAACTCTCGCCAAGTACAACATCCTCGGGATGGGCATTGGGATGCCCTCGAGCATGAGTTACCTTGGAAATCCTATGGACACTACCACAACAGCGAACGGTTCGAACAATAACGGCGGAGTGTTTGGGCCAATTGGAACGGTTCCTGCTCTCGGATCGACTTCACCAACGCCACGCAATACGCTCGACAGATATGAACCCTTTGATCCGTTCAGACAGAACAACACAGCCGCCAGTGCTATTCATCTAAACAACAATTCGTTTGGCCTGGGCACTAACCAGTTATCGCTTGTAAGTAAGAGTCCTACACAGGTAGACGCCAACAACAAGGAGACCAAGAAAGTAGACATAGAAATTGCAGAGGTTATAGTGGGAGCTATTCTGGGACCCGGTGGTCGTGCCCTCATTGAGATTCAGCACTTAAGTGGCGCCAACATACAAATCTCTAAGAAGGGCATGTTCGCTCCTGGTACCAGGAACCGCATAGTGACTATCACGGGTTATCCTAATGCGATCGGCACTGCTCAATATTTAATTGAGCAGAGGATCAGCGAAGAGGAGGCAAAACGAGCACGTCAGAATGCCCTCGCCAATATAATCCATTGATTTCAAGTACAGTACTTTTGTTCATCCCCATTATTGAGCTCCGTTATTCACCTCTTCGCATTTTGAGATGATGGCGCGGTAGCTCTCTTCTCCTGTCTTTTAAAACACTCGTCCACCACTACCACCTACCACCCGTTGTCATCTATCGCTACATCACTATAGCGCTTGCATTCTCACATCACTATTCATGCATCCATCATGGCTCGTCAACATTTATCAATCTTTTAAGATAATTATGATATATAAATATTACATGTTATATGATAACTACTACAATTGTTCTGTGATACACCACGTTACGGGGCTTTATCACGAATAACACACATACCACATCAGAGTCACATAATATATCTAGTTGTATGGTATAGCATATTGAAAAGATGGCATGATAAAACCTATTGTTCCATTAGAGATGAAATGGCACAATTCGGCCATAATATTACTCTTGAAAGATCGAGACAGAGATGTTTACATGGATAATTGTTTCGTTTTATAAAAACAATTTTTTCCTTTTTTTTTTTTATAGAAGCATAATCCAACTACTGATACGAGACACGCTTAGTTACAAGGTCATACAGAACTCGCAATTGAATGACTTCGATTCGAAGATTAGTACTTCGTTTAGTGTCCTGTAACTCAACTTACATTCGTTTTTACAAAAAGATTCCATAATTATTGTATTGAACTGTTCCTTGAACTATGAAATGATTAGGCTGTTTGAGCGATGTTACTCTTGCTTGACATACTATTTTAACGCGTTTTTTAAGTACGGAATAATACCTTGGCAAAACCAAAGATCTTACATATACGAGGCAGAAATAACTTGGCTGGAAGATAAATATATATACAAAGGGAGAGCTATTCTACGTATAAAAATATATATTTATATATTTACGATGCTGGCTGGTCCAGCTAAACGAGTAACATAATACCTTATTGCCAAGTTTTATTCTCAACCCTGAAGCTTTTATTTCTCAAAAGAAACTTCATCCAACTGTATATTATCGTGCTTAGATTAGTGTACACGAAATTATATTAGCGTCGAGTCTCATTATTTCTTTACATATGCCTTAAGAACGGAGAGTTCGTTCTACCAAGGCGCTAGGATAAATACGACTCGGTTCGTTCAGACGCGATTCACGAGCAATGATTTCACTACGGTTACAACACGATCTTGTAGATAACACTTCGTATATTAAAACTTTCGTCTAATTATTTTTAGTTTCAAGGTTTATCAGTTGAATACAATTCGGATTAATAACAGTTTTACATTTGTCGACACTTGCTAAATGAAAAGCTCTGACAAAAACCTTGTTTTCGTCATTCCTTTACGTTATAGTTTGCATGAATACAATTTTTATTATCACGTTGAAATGTTTATATTTGTATACATGCGTTCTCAATAGTTTAATTGTCAATCATATTTCCTCCCGTCAACGTGTTCGTTTCTCTTTGTTTCAAAAAAAAAGAAAAAAAAAAGCAAACAAACTTTTACGACAGTTTTATTAATGTATTGATATTATACATATTGAACATAGGAAAAGAAGTTCCGTTTAGCAAACGTATCTTTTCCGTGCAATGATCGAAGTACCTTAGGCATAGCATGAAAATTGAGATTATTTGATTACACGTGTTTACTCTTGCATATAGAGTCTGTTATGATCAGCAGCCCATGTCATACAACCTTGGGTTCTGTATGATACTGCTTTATATAAGATTCTATTTAAGCCAACCAAATCTTTAACCGTTGCACTTTGACATTGAATCAAATCAAGTTAGATAGAGAATGGATTTTAGCTAGTAATAATCTTGTCTGTGTTGATAATTATTGGTATAAAATACAGCTACGCTCTATTGCTAGGTGAGAAAGGATTACACCATCTATCGATAACAGACAGTTACGAATCATTGTTTTGTTAGGGGGTAGGTAATAGAAGAAAAAAGGGGGTGGTATAAGGGATAGGCGATAATCAATAATGGGTTTAGTTCAAATAACTGAGAAAAAGTTAGCTATAGCGTCAAATGAAATATATAAATGTACACGAGTACAATTCGTAGCTGAAGGCGCTGGCTCACCGCTCTTTAATATAATAACTTGTATATTTATAAATATCGTATAACATGAGTAATAATAATATATTACACAGAGAGAACGAGAGAGTGAGAGACAGAGAAAATAAATTTATATGTTTGCGCGTGTGTTGTGTGTGTGTGTGGTGAGCGTGTATATGTATATACACACGTAAGTGTATGTATATATATATACATACGCGCGCGCACACATGAAAAGTTTGAATTAGATTATTAAAAAAAGAGAATTCATATATCTAAAAGAAAAAAAATAATATATATGTGTATATTTATATATACACAGGCACAAACGTATATATGTATATGTGTGCGCGCGTGTGTGTATGTATATATATTTGTGCCTGTAAAACGAAAATATATATAAAGAAACATATAAATATATATAAATATATATATATAGAATGGAATGATATTATAAACATTGTTGGTAAAATATTTTTGCGTCCGCGTACGTGAAACATGGTTTTAAGTTTATCCATAAATTCTATGTGAACTATAATCAATTGAACTTCACTGTGTTGCCCAAATACATTGAAAAGGAAGTTACAGAATACGCAAATGATGCAAACTACACAATGACACAGAAGATGCAAACTATTATTAAGTTGCTGTAGATAGATCAATTCGAAAATTTTAAATAGAACATGCTACGAATGTCACGTATATATAGCAATTAATTTAATTTATAAATCGATTTATTTGAATGGTCATCGCGCTATTACTACTAACGGCAGCATAATATTTCTCTACGTTAGCTACGTACAGTAATTTCTCACTAATCATCCGCATCATCACATTAGATCTATTATTGGCAATTCTCAGTCTAATCTTATTGCCAGTCTTTTTTTTGTTTTTTTTTTATTATTATTATTATTATTATTATTTCTACTTTATAACTCACTCGTTGACTGCTGATAGCCAGGTGTGTTCGAAATGATTTGAGTAAAACAAGATGTACTAAAAAAATTCGATATCTTAATTTATGCATCGATTCATACTTCTGTCATGCGTAATGCTCACGAATACTTGTACTAGTGTACCTAAATCTAGCAACGCACTAAATTTGTACATTATAAAGTAGATTAAAAACTTAGCTTCGCTTCGACAAGGGTTTCTACATACTTTGTGCTTGTTACAAGTAACAGTTTTCTTCCTTTACATTTTTTTTTAATTTTTTTTTTATAAGCAAGGTAATATGTTTGTTTTTTTTTTTTAACGCAGAATATTTCGTTCTAATGAATTAACGTATTCAGTGTTACGTCATCAGAGAGCTGCAATATTTTTAATATTATCGATACATTGAACAATCGTTATCGCGACTTTCTCTCACCTGATTTCTCGTAAACGAAAATCAAAGCAATTATCTTCGTTCGACTCGATCGATGTATAGGTATCAAATTATTCATGCGCATTGATAAAAAAAAGTAGCATATTCTCGCGATTAAATCTTCATGCCAAAACAACTTGTAGGTAGCACAAGGTAATTAGATTAGGTTACGGTTTTCTCAGTAAACACATTCCTTAGTAGAACAGATTACGTATAAGACTAGCTGTGATGGAGTTGAGGGATATGTTCATCGGCTGCCAGTACATGAAAAAAAAATGCCACGATACGATTGGTAGCGTGTTAAATTAGAGAATTTATTTGCGCAGGAAAAGTAACTCGATGGCATACGAAAAAAGTTCATCGCCAAGGAGTAAACAAGAACGGATGATTTCTCTGCGTAACGTAGCAGTGTTAGCGTTGAACACGCAGAAAAGCAAAATTTTATGCACAATGACATCTATAAGATTCTGTCAAGATGTCACGGACGATCTTGCGATATCCGTTTCCCGTTGTTATTGTTCGAAACGTTACGATCTTCTTGCATTATTGCTAAGAAATAAAAAAAAGAGATACGTATACAAAAACCATAGCGATCAGTCAGTCTAAATATAAGTATGTATTTCCTTTTTGCGATTTCTACGTCCGTACAATGTTAGTGTCGTCGATATTAGAAAAGAATCCTAAGTGTTCATCGGGTAGTAAAACTAACTGTGCATTAAAAAAGTTTATTGCTCGCACGTTTGAGCAAAGATCAATCTCGAATACTTCACTTTACATTCTCAGAGTTCGCGTGTCGCGTTGAGTTGAATCTATTTGTCGCGCGTTCAACAATTTCCGTCTTTTCATCGGCGAAAAAAATACAGAGGGTGACTTAGTATTAGTGTCAGAACCGGAAATGGGAGGTAGTTGAGACGATTCTGAACCACAATTTTGCAAAGGGAATGCAATTTCCTTTGCGAAATTGTGGTTCAGAATCGTCTCAGCTACCTCCCATTTCCGGTTCCTACATTAATTCTGGGACACCCTGTATACACATGAATACCTCTACTCAAAGTGGCAAAAAGAACAGTATTGGTTGGCCAGTCAATGTTACCTACGAGTTGTTTAACGAGAAAACACACTGTTAGAGACTAATTAAGTCGGCAAACGTATTTGGAAGGATCTTTAACGCATACAACGCTTCGTCTTTGTACAGTTCAAGGTAGATTTCATTGTTCATTCTCTATGTAAAGATGATCACGCGACCTCTAATCGTCGTGGAATAATCGTACACGATTAATAGGTATAGATGTTGTAGATAGTCTGAAATTTCATATAAAAGTGGTCGTTACAGGCTCGACGTTTTAATCCAATTAATACGAGACGAAATATTTACGGAATGGATAAAAGTAATTATACTCTCTCGCACGTGGAAACGTAGTTGTATAGTAAAACAAAGGGAGAAACGATGAAAAAAAAAACTGTAGGAATTGCATTGACTTGCCTCGACTCTAATATGACTATATTATTACAGTAAATATGATTCAATTTTGACACACGTGTCGCCACGCGGGGGTGGTTTTGCGTGTCACGTTACTTGGCTGTGTGTGCTAGGCTACATCGTATAACTCATGTTCCATCATCCATCACTCCACTCGCATAGAATCCAGTTACCTTTACAGAACGAAACAAAGAGGGGGAGAGAAAAAAGAAATAAACAGGAAGAATAACGATGATTCATCGTTAAGTAATAAATATTCGTACGAAAATGGAAATACGCTAAAGGAAGGGTCGATGAATATTTAATACAACGGAAAAGAGAACAAAGTTACTTTTCCGCACATTCACACACACACACACACACACACACACACATACACACACCACCTAATCACTTTAGTGCCATATTGATATCCCATCAGCCACACTTGTTGACGTTTTAACGGTAGAACGTGTTGTTAAAGATGTGTATATTCTGCAATATAAAGCAGGTTGTTTTGAATAAAGTCGGAATACATTTTATTTCACATTATATATAAATATATATAAATATATATGTATAAATATATACATATACATTTATATATATAATCGTTACAAAGTATTATAAAACATTCACCACCTGTATATTGATTATTTAGGTTGTCGCCAGTGTACAAAGAATTGTTACACAGCTACAGAGGGATTTAAGTTAATAGGAACACAGTACCTTACGCTTGTATGCCACCGAATTTTACTCGCACAAGTGGGAAACGAAGACAGTGCCATTGCCACAGCAGCCACAGATGGGAAACGGTCGCGGGTGGGGTAGTGTCGTCCACTAATTAATATTCACACGGTTTTGGTAAACATCAAAAGTTCTCGTTATACCTGTGATGTTTTATAGAGAAGGCATAAGAGATTTATTAATACAATTAGTGGAACATATGTGCGAAGAGTGTCTAAAGGAATATAAAAAAATTCAATAATTTATTCGTTAAAATCAATTTTTGTGTTGAACATCAGAGGTATCTTCACGAGAGTATCCCCTACGAATTGGTGACGTATCTTTGGCGAAATTGAATCCAAACACGACTTCATTCGGGCTATTTTTTCACTTGTGAAAATCTTCCAATTTTTTATAATTAAAGATAATCCGACCGAGGTTGCTGTTGGACTCACTTTCGTGATACAAACATTGTCCATTCGTTCGCGATACTCTCACGAAGACGCAATGAAATATATAAAAATAGAAATGTTGATTAGTGGACATCTCATCCTGCGAGCGATGATGTTTACCTGTCCAAGCTCGCTGGCATTGCTCTATCCCGTTCACTTTTAATGTACATATCCCATTATCTGTCGCGTCAGATGATCCAATAGAACCTCGATCATTGGACGACATATGGATTGTAAATGTCTACAATAATCGAAGTAACGAGTCAGTATAATATCAATTTTTCTGCCAGGGATAGGCAAAATACACGTCTAGGCGATAATTTCCAATAACGAATAAAAGACGCGCGACTTTTTATCCGTTATTTGTCAAATAAACAGGGGACTTGCGAAAAATGAAATGATCGGTGTACTGTGTTTTCATTCATCTATTGTTCGTCTATTATTATAAAATTTTGCCCGTCTCTGCTTGTTGCTTAGCGACCATCCCCTCTGCTCGTCGACAACACGCGATGATGGAGGCCTCCCGTGCAGTAATCGAGGTTCTATTGTGCATGCAACGATATTGCTATCTTCACTGGATGTATAGAAACACGAGTGGAACCGATTCGGGGTGCATAGAAGCGAGAGTTACTGTATGTAATAATGATTTATCACGATACGACAAGACACAAGAATTGTTCGATCCGCATCCTCGAGTTTCTTTCTTTTTCTTTTTCGTTTGCGTAACGTAGCGATGGAAATTCTTTCTGTAAATAATGCAACAGTTTCTCGATTAGGCGAGCGACGCGTTTCGACGCGCGGATTATTCTTCTAGTTAGAAAATGAAAAAAAAAAAAAAAGAAAACAGAAAACGAGCAATGGCTTTACTTGTAAATCAAATTCTCCATTGCTTGTTCGTTCGGTGTGCGTTCAATTCGCCGGAATTAGAATGCGATAAAAACCGACGCAGGCCTCTGTTACAGCGACGAAACGTTTCGATAGAGATACCGTGATGTTTGTTAGACGTGCTTTTTCCTTTTTCGAGGCTACCATTGTTTCCGACGAAACGTTGCATTCGAACGCTTTAAGAATTGTTATATTCTTCGGACGATTCTTTTTACTGCCACTTTTTGCAATGTTTCGCTATAACGAAGCTAGATGGAAATTTACAATAGTCGAAGGGAATTTAAAAAAAAAAAAAATAAATAAAGAAAGAAAGAAAAAATTAAAAATAACGAAACATTGATGTAAATGTGTAACGTTACGCGTTAAGGAGTATTGATATACATATTAAGAGACGTATGGTCGTTACAAAGATGGCGGTGAAAATAAAATCGTACGCGTTGCATTGATGAGACAATAGAGCAAAACTTTAATCGTTATACATAGAGGAAAAAGAGAGTGCAGCAAAAGCTTGTCGAGGAAACCCACAATTAAGTCTTTGAAAAATACGCTGAACTGGTTCACCGGATGTTTTCATTTAGACGCTACAACATACATGTATAAACGCGTATATTGTACGCGAAAACTTTCGAACCCACTTGTGAGTTGCCATTTTGTATACAGCCGTGTCGCGTTTTGGCGAATCTGTAATTGCAAAAGAAAGGAAAAAGTAAACAAAACGCACATACAGAACAAAAACGATCATCGACCTGTTCTCAGACACTTTCTCTGTTTTTGACTCGTTCGTTTTCGATTGTCCGGGTTTCGCCATACGGAGTCTTTCGTGAAATATGAGCGATAAATCGTTCCATAAAAATGATAAAGATAATTCAGGTGAACGTTTGTATCGTTTAAAGGAATAATCTTTAACCCTTTGAAGCACGAGGGTAATATGTTACTACGTTGAATATATACAGATATATTTATATGAATATATATTAAATGTATTAAGCGCTGTGCATAAAAAACTTCCTCGATTATCTGGAAAGGAGTGTGTTAAGTTTCATAGTTTATATTCGCCACAAATGTCTGTGCGTCAAGGGGTTAACAGAACAACTTCAATAGGTATTCAGTAATGGCTCAGAACCTACAAATGATACGGCAAAAATCAAATCGATAGTTATTTATTACTTTTATGAATTATATAATTTTAATATTCTTGCCACGTTTTGCGAATTGCTCTGTATGTATCTGCATTGCGATACTCTGGAAAAGCAATCGATGTATTCAAAACAGCAATGCATAACAACGTTTGAAATCGTGAAATCCTCCGGGTCGAGCGACCAGGAGCTTTTTTTACGATTTCTCGAGAAACGTAGAACGAGCGAGCAAACCGAGAGAATTTATTCGAGATAAGATTCTATTTAAAATGAAACAGTGAAAACAGAGGGAATGTAACGAAAAGGAGAGATAGAGAACATATTTAATAAACACGACTAGGAATCACTCGTTACGAGTAAAATAAGGAGAAAAAAAAATACGGTTGTACAAAAGTGTATTGTAATGTTATTTTATTGGAAGTGAGACTTTTAGCGTTAGATTGTTAATACACACGGTATATTATTTTGGATAAGCCTATCTATAAAGAGATGAAAAATTCGGTGTGCGTGTGTTTGTTTGTTTGCGTGGTTTGCGTGGGTGTGTGCGTGTGCGTAAACAACAAGAAAGAAGTATATATATACATATATATGATGAAGAATAATAATCGAGGAACATTGATGAGATTGTTGCGTTGTTCGCGGTAGAAGTAGCGCATAGTAGCTCGGGGATTTAATGAAAAGAAAGACGGCGAGGAATGGAAAAAAAAAAGAAACTATTAAGTACCTTGTTGAGTATAAGTAGAGTTAATAAGTCGCCAAGTCGCGGAGAAAAAAACAAGAATAAAGAAAATTATGTACACGCGGCCGGAGAAAGGTGCGCGTGTGCACGAATTCATGTTCATTGAAACGACTCGACATCATTGAACACTCACACAACACACAAAGGAATATTATACAGTTGTATAACGCGAATTGTTGCATGCCTAATACACGCAAATGGACACAAACGAATATAAACAGAAAAAGAAGATATATGTGTATATATATATGTATATATATTGACATGTATATACACACATATAACGAAGTGTACTAGACAGGAGGTTTCACGCGAAACGCAGTGCCGCGCGTTGTGCTTTACCTTGATTAAGGACCGCAATCGACATCCAAACGATGCTCGGTCGCGTTAAATGAAAATAAATAAAAATAGCATTATCTTCTTACGAGTATTTCGAATTTCGAGAGCAGCTGGCTGCGAGAAACAGATAAAAGAAAAAAAAAAGGTACCACATATATAGAGGGACTCGTTCGTCAAGTATTGTACCTT